GTATTGGTGTGCTGGCTCTTATCAGTTACTTGGCTGCTTTCTTGGACAGTTTGCCTTCCTCTTAGGCTGAGGGAGTGTGACTTGCCCAAGGTCACCCAGTGAGTTTCCATGGTGGAGTGGGGATTTGAACCCTGATCTCCAAAGTCCTAGTCCAGTGCTTAGACCACTTCATCACACTGGCTTTTTAGCACTGTCTCTATGGAAATCTTATTGTGAGTGAAAAATGGGACAATTGTGGGAAATACACATTTTCCTTAATATCTAGGTTGGCCTTAAGCAGTGATGGTGAACCTTTTAGGGGCTGAGTGCCCAAACTAAAAGGCCTTCTGGCACCGGATGTTACTCCGTGCTGGGGGCAGGATTTCCACCCTCTGGGGCAGGACTTCTGGGGTGGGAGTTCTTCCCCCTGCCCTCCCAGGCCTTCAGCTCCCTCTCCAGAGACAGCTGAAGGCCTGGGGAGGTGACAGGGAAAGAAGAGGAACAGGAGCACACCTATTCCTCTTCCTCCCCCCACACCATTCTCGACCTTCAGCTGCACAAGTGGAGTGGGTGCATTTGTTTTGTGTTACCAGTGACAAGTAGGGTGCCACAGGGTTCTGTCCTGGACCCAGGGCTATTCAACATCTTTATCAATGACTTGGATGAAAGAATAGGGGACATTGTGTTTTGTTGGTTTTTCAGGTTATGTGGACATGTTCTGTAAGAATTTATTCAGAGAATGCAGGCATGGAAGTAAGTGGGGTATATATACTGTCTAACCCTTTGTTGACAGGAAGTGATGTACATGCTAATCTGTGTGTTGTTCTATTGCTGAATGGCAAGGCTTCAGGGTGTCTATTTAATTAGTTATTCATTGTCTGCTGACAAAACCCCTGACACTGGGTGGTATTCATTTCAATAGGGGGCATGCTTATCAAATTTGCAGGTGACATCAAATTAGGAGGAATAGCTAATATCCCAGAGGACAGGATGAAAATTCAAAATGACCTTAATAGATTAGAAAGCTGGGCCAAAGCTAACAAAATGAATTTCAACATGCAGAAATGAAATGCATAGATATAAGATGGGGAGCATCTGGCTTAATGGGACTACGTGTAAAAGGGATCTAGGAGTCCTAGTAGACAACAAGTTGAACATAAGACAACAGTGTGATGCAGCAGCTAAAAAGGCCAATGCCATTCTAGGCTGCATCAATAGAAGTATAGTGTCTAGATCAAGGGAAGTAATAGTGCCACTGTATTCTGCTTTGGTCAGGCCTCACTTTGATACCGTGTCCTGTTCTGGGCACCACAGTTCAAAAAGGATGTTGAGAAGCTGGAGCATGTCCAAAAGAGGGTGATTAAAATGGTGAAAGGTTGGAAACTGGGATCTGGGTATGTTTAGCCTGGAGAAGAGAAGGTTAAGAGGTGATATGATAACTGTTTAACTATTTGAAAGGATGTCTTATTGAGGATGGAGCAAGCTTGTTTTCTGCCCCTCCAGAGAATAGGACATGGAACAATGGATGCAAGCTACTGGAAAAGAGATTCCACCTAAACATTAGGAAGAATTTCCTGCAAGTAAGAGCTGTTCTGACAGTGAACTAACTCCCTTGGAGAGTGGTGGAGTCTCCTTCTATGGAATTCTTTAAACAGAGGCTGGATGGCCATCTGTTAGGAATGCTTTGATTGTGTCTTCCTGCATGGCATGGGGTTAGATTAGATAGCCCTTGTGGTCTCTTCCAACTCTATGATTCTATGATTCTATTCAGTTAATAAACAAATTGCTGTAGGCACCATGCTTTCCCTCCATATCTGAGAATTATGATACAAAAACCCCTTTACTAATTTCCCCAAAGAAGATGAGCACAGTTGAAGACTTGCCTCTTCCATATTAATTCTTGTTGTTATTGTGTGCCTTCAAGTCATTTTCAACTTATGGTGATTTGAAATCAAACCTATCATGTTTTTTTTTTGTGTGTGTGAAAGTATATGATTCACCTAAGATCATCCAGTGGGTTCCCATGGCTGAGTGGAGAATCAAACCCTGATCTGCAGAGTCATAGTCCAGTGCTCTAACCACTGCACCACACTGGCTCGCACTATCTCTTTAGTATTTGCTATCCAAGTACAACCTTCTAGAATGTAAAATGATATGTGTTCAGATAGAAGTAAACTCAAAGGCTCAACTCTTTTCATGGCATAAGCCTGAAAACATCAAGGTGAGTTATGGAGCTCTCCATGACCCTTTGAAAAAGAAGGAATAAATATTTAATAGGTCCAATCTAATGCAATCATTGAGGAGGAACGGAAGGAAAAGGGAGCCTACGACAGTGATCGATGGCTGGTGAATATTCCACATTGGTGGCTTCTGAAAACCTTCTTGAGGAAAGAATACATACATCATCATGTAGATTAATGCTGATTTCTACCTTCCTGAATATGCACAGCTGCAACAAAAACCACCCCAACCCTGAGCAAGACAGAAGTTATCAGCAGATGTGAGGCAAAGCATTAATTTTTGGTTTGAAAACCACCACACCACTCCTTAAAAAGAAGTCCAGAAGTTTCTGTCACTCCACACATACACCCTTCCCAACACAAATAAAAGAATAGAAAGGGGGGTGACTTGTGATTTTGTTAGCTTTTTAAGAATTGTGCTTCTTAGTCTTTGCAATGCAAAGGACCGTGGACAGTTTAGACAGAAAGTAAAATGCTAATGCCAGAACTTCTGCCTTTTAAGATTCTGATTTACTCATGTGTTCCTTTGTAATGCTTGGGGGAGAGGGAACTTACCCATGCTCATGAAAGACTTCAAAATGGGAATTGGTGCATTAAATGCCTTTTGGCTTTAATGGTCAGGTAGGTTCTTGAGAAGATATAGCAGCTAATTTAGGTGGACAAAGAAGGGGGTAACATGGAGTCCCTGGTGACTGAGTGACTAATGACTGCTGAATAATTGATGCACCAGAAGAGATTCCATTGAATGTTAAAGAGAAAATTGTTTGTTTTTGAGTATTTATACCCTGCCGTTCATCAAAAAAGGCTCCTAGAGTAGCTTGCAAATTGTTAATTTGACAATTCCCTGCACTCTGGTTCACGATCTAAACAAGACACAAAGCATAAGGAAAGGAATGGTCATGGGCTAGACTAGAGTATTAAGGCCAACAGATACTGCCTGTTCTTCTGTCCCTTGAAGCTGCAGCCATTACAGTTGGAATCGAGGGGAAGGTCTTTCATCCGCTTTTGGGGGTAAAGCATGAGAGGGCTTTACTTGCCCATTCTTCTCTCTCTCTGAGGCCAGAGATGTGGTGGTTGGGATGCAGGGAGGACCTTTCATTTGCTGCTGGGGATAAGACATAATGGAGTAACTTAAGTGTTAGCTGTTAGCTAAGATCAGGGCCATGGCAACCACATGCCACGGCCCCAATCTGGCTTTTTGCCACTCCAAAAAGAGCTGGCAAATACTGCTCCTTTTTGGAGTGGCAAAAAGCTGCCCTTAGAGCTGCTGCCATGGCTCTTTTGCACCCCTTTGGTGCAGCATGTCTACATGCTGCACCAAATAGAGCGTCCTGATGCCGCATACCATGCAGTGGGGTGTGCTGTATGACGGCATTGTCGGGGCAGCTGGCGTGCAGTCACCCCACCCCAACTCCACCCCCAGGCTGCCCTTTGTGGCCATTCTGTACAGGCCCTAAGTTAGGGTGCCTTGGGAGAAAATTTACTTTCTCTTAATAAGAGTACATACATTCTTGGAACATGTGAGGGAGCATTATAATGTTCTGGACTTCTGTGAAAAATGTTATTGAATCTATATTAGGTTGCATCTACACTGCAGAATTAATACAGTTCGACACTGTTTTAACTCTCATGGCTTAATGCTATGGGATTCTAGGATTTGTAGTTTTGTGAGATATTTACCCTTCTCTGTCAGAGGGTTTTTGTGGCATATTGAATTACAAATCTCAAGGTTCCATTACTACATTCCATTTATTGCATTCTTTGGTTTTTCCCCTTTGACAAGGTTATCAAGTTATGTCCGACAGTAGGGGCAGTGCTCATCTCTGGTGCTAAGCCAAAGAGCCAGTATTGTCAAAGAAGACTCTGTGATCATGTGGCCAGCATGACTACACAGAGCAGTACTGAGTGGTATTAACATATTTAAACAGCTCTGAGAATATGTAAATGTATCTCTGATGTTGTGAATGATGTTATTGGTCCCTTTAATATTGCACAAGAGTACATGTGGGAATAACATTGCCATCTGGGTTTCTGACAGGATCTTGTCCCTGTGTTATCCATCAGTGTTATAGATCCTGCTGTGAGTAAGCAATTGTTCATGATTTGGAGGGTGTTTGTAGGATAATAAATGCCCGCCTCCCAGAACTTGTGAAAGGGCTATGTTATTCCCCAAAACTGTTTGCAGTTTGTTGATGATGTTCTGAGTTGGGGACTGTAGCTGACCATAGGGGTGTTTTATCATGTTGTGGTTTTGCTCTGTCTAGCAGTAGATGGTTCCTGGGTATTAATCTTGCTTTCTCAATTTGTTTCTTCAGTTGGATCCTTAGTTGGGTATTGTAGTTTGAGAAATGCCTGTTGTAAATCCAAGTTTTTTGACTCTCTGTCTTGTGGGTCTAGCCAGATGTGGTTGTATCAGATCATTTAGCTGCAGACAATAAATTTTGATAGTGTATTCTGGTGGGAAATGGTTGTTGAAATCCTGGTGGAACTTCTCAAGTGATTGTTTTCCATTGACCAAATTACAAGTATATCATTGAGAGATCAAAGGTACATGATACATTTTTGGGTACGTGTGCTGAGGAAACATTGTTCCAGGTCAGCCATGAAGATGTCTGCATACTGTGCTGCCATGTGGGTGCCTATAGCAGTGCCATTAACTTGAAGCTACATATTATTCCCAAAAGTGAGGTATAAAGTGGGAGAGCTTGATGGCTAGGTCTGTTGTAGCCTCGTTCAGGATGATATTCTTGATGGCTTGTAGTCCAACTTGGTGTGGAATGTTGGTGTATACAGATTCCACATCCATAGTAATAATAATAGTGTTCTCTGGGAGGTTGTGGATGGACTGTATTTTGTTCAGGAAATCAGTTGGATCCTCCACATAGCTTGGAGTGTTGGTGGCATATGGCCTGAGAACTGGGCCCATATATCCAGATATTCCAACAGTCAGGATTCTGATGCTTGAGGCAATAGGTCTCCCTGGATTGCCTTGTTTGTGTATTTGGGGTAAGAGATAAAAGATGCCTAGTTTGGGTTCCTGGGGTGTGTCCATTTAAATTTGGTTCTCCATAACAGTGGAAAATTCTTAGAGTAAATTCTGTAGTTCCTTCAGATATTCATCAGTGAGATCTTTGGAGAGGATTCTGTAAAATGAGTGTTGGACAATTGTCTCTCAGCCTCCTCTATATAGTCTGACTTGTTTATGATGAACACAGTTTCCCCTTTGTCAGCCTGTTGTATGATAATGTTAGGTTGTTTCTGAGACTTTGGATACCATTTCATTCCATATGGCTGAGATTGTGTGATAAATTGTGTTTCTTGATTATTATCTCAGTTTGGGCACAGGAACAAAAGCATTCTATCTAGTGATTGAATTCCACATTCCAGCGTTTGGAGGGAAGGTCCATGCAAAATTCTTTTTGTAGTGCCTGGAAACATATTTTTTTGTGTTGGTGCAGTGACCATTGTCATGTGATGTAGACTGAAGTGATGCATGAGAGCTGTTGTCCTTCTTGGTGTCACTTTCTCTGAATATTCCTTGAGTTATAGATGTTGGAAGAAAGCCTCTAGGTCACCACAGAACTGAATCATGTGTGTAGGTTTTGAGATTTTGGTCAGTTAGTTAAAAGCCAGGTTTTGGTAAGGAATACTGTCTATTGTGTGATTGGTGTAGGCCCTTTCATACTAAAGAAATATAGCACTCATATTTCAGTGTAACTGCTATGATAACATCCTAGTGAATCCTAGGCTTGTTGTTTGATAAGGCACTAGTGCTCTCTGACTAAGAATTCTAAACACCCCTTCCTAACTGCAAATCCCAGAATTCCATGGGATGGAACAGTGCCAGTTAAAGCAGAATCATAATGCTATAATTGTACAGTGTGGAAAGGTCCATTGATAAATAGTGAAATTAATATTAACAACTAAACCATTGCAATGATATGCATCAGTACACAAAGTAATCTTGACTTGTATGTTTCTTTGCTGTTTTAGAAATGTTTTGTAAAATACACACATGCCTCTGGGAATGCTACAATAATATTACTAGGATTATTAATAAAGCAAACATGGGTATTTGTGGTGGCAGCAGTTGTCTTTGGTGATTACTGAGTAGTTAACTTTGGTGTTGGGACAAAGGCATTCACACAAAAAGAATCACAAAAGTAAAGGTCACAGAGTGTGACTGATGTCGGAATGATTGTAAGGGTCCCTCACAAGTGATGTTCAGTAGTGTCACTAAAAGAATCAATTTTGGGGCCTTGATGACAATTAAAAAACTCCACAAGTGGTGATAGTAAATGGGATAAAAGTGGAATTGACAGAAGTGGGACTAATAAAGATTACATTTTCACAAGCATGTATAGCCTAATTCTGTCCTTCTGCTGATGTGTCTGCTGATGTGTCTGTCAAGCCACAATCTATGGTCCATAGATTCAGCATATACATTGAGGTATACCCATAGAACCTCTTAATGCTGAGTGAGATGGAGGCCTGATTTGGATACAATTCTCCATTGTGTGGAGGAATTCATCACCTTTATGTTGGTATGCAAATTGTCTTGTTCCTAATGAGAGGGACTCATTCCACATACCAGCACAATCTGCCAAATCTCCAGCCTCAGGGAGAATTTTCACTGCCAGACCAAGCAAAAGACAAGGAGTGATTTGCTTTTTTTGTTGTGGTTTCCACCATGGGCCCAAAATTGTATCTGCATGAAAGAACTGTCTTTTTCATTTGTGAAGTAAAGGCACACATACATGGACTGCACAGAAGGATGGCCTGATTGATCAAAAAGATTTTAGAAACCGAATGGATGCTTCTAAATTTTAAAAGTCTATGAACATGGCAGTAGCTAG